TTCCGTACCTCTCCTGGAAGCAAAATGAATCTCCATGGTGTTTATAGTGAAAAGGTTACATAAAAATGAACAGTACTTAACATGTCCCTTTTTTCCTTTTTTCTGTCCCACAAGTGGGACTGCAGACTGCTGTTTGCTGCTCTCTACATCTGCCTTCGTTCCCCCTTCCAAAGTTTCTTGGAAATTTTTTTTTGTAAATATGAAAAGAAAAATATACATTATTTGATCCCTACCAGGCCACTAAGGCATGTGATGAGCTCACAGCAGAGAAGCTGCCATTTCTCCACATAAGCTGCAATCAGCATCTCTAGTTACAACAGCTCATGCCTTGTTGTGCCACAGATGTGGCATCGTAGTTCTTAGTAGTGTGTGTTAATTCCTCAGTATTTACTTGTGACTTTGCAATATTCCATTATTTACGGTATTTGTATAGGCCCTGAAATGTTACCAAACACATTGACTCAAAATGTTTGTGATTGCCCTGGCTGCCGTGGCATATGCTAAACGTGTATTCAGGCGAGTACCGTGCATGGATGCTGCAACCTTGCCCAGCCGTGTACCAGACCCTACTGTCACGATATGTCCTTGTTATGGCTGAGTGCTGCTGGATGTACAAAAAGAAAGCAACTTAGTCCAAGCCAAGAAAGACTGCTAGTGTCATCTTCAGCAGGGTCTTTCATCGTATGCAGACAGAATAGTGTACCTCTTTATCTAGGGCTTCCAGGCAAGGACCTTTAAACATGAAACGACAATGCTCTGCTCAGTTTCACACCACAGCTCCACGGCGTAAGGAGGGTCTCTCATCTGAGGGCTGTTCACATCGTCTTTGTATTTCACGGTGGAACTCTGCCAGCTTCCCAACAAGAGAAACCTCTTTGCTTCGCAGAGGAGGTGGGAAGATTTTCTCTGAGAAGCGGCCATGGCTGTCACAGACAAGTAAACAAATCCAAGGTGCTGGGTGGCCCTGGGGGGTCACTGGTGGTCAGTCCCTAGAAGAAGCTAGGATATTAAGCAAAGAATTGTGCTTTGGCTGAAGCATAGCTTTCTTCTGTATTTATTGTTGGCTTTGTAATATGTGGGGGAAGAATTAGTAACTAATTTTTGCATTATTTCAAGACTGGTTCAGGTTAGGCTGGCTGGTGTTATTCCCTGTCTTTGTGCTGTCAGTAAAGTTGACTGCTCTTGGTTTGAAACCTTTTTCTGGAACGTATAAGACTTTGGAGCAGCTGTTTGAACAAAATGCGCGCTTCATCTGGGTAGAGCTGTTCTATTAAATTAGCAGCTGTAAATGACACACCACAGTGAATGGTAGTAAATTTATTTTGTGCTGGCTTTCTTCCCTTTCCTCCCCACCCCCCGTCTTTTCCAGTACCCCAGAAGCCCTTCAGTAGCTAAAGTACTCTTGGTTCTCAACTTGCTTGAGGAAGCTCAAATGAGTTCATATTTTACTCAGATTAACAATAATTAGGATTAGGGCTACAACGTCAGAATGCTGCCTCGCCAGTGATGCCCTCCTGCATATCTCCTATCATTGCTTGAGTTCTGCACCTTGACTTGCAGTATAAGCTCCCTTTCTAGGGAACAAGTGCTGCTGCTGAGTGCTCTCCTGCACTAATGAATTGAAATATTAAAATGGATGTGATCGAATGCAATTTGAGTTGCCTCAAGCTTTGCCATGAAATACTTTTGTGGAACAGTACCTGTATTTATCACCTTTAGATTTGCATGTACAGAGCTCCAAGTGATGTTTGGCTAATGTGTTTTGGTTTTTTTTTACAATTAGCATTTTTTTAATGTTCCTTATGGAGGTAGTGGCAGTGCGGATTTTATACCACCTGTCCCTGTGATCTTAAAAATATTACATAAAGTACTAAATTGGATCAAAATAGGTTGATTTGAAATAGTGTAGAACAAAACAATATATTTAAATTACTTGTAATATAAAAAAAAATCTCCATGGCAATTTGGCAAGATAGGACAAAAGGGAAGAAAAAAAAGAGTCAAAAAGTATTTTTTGAATAGTTTTCTTTCCCATCTGTGATCTGTAATAGCTCACTGGCAAGTTATCACACCTTCCTAAGTGGTCCATCCAACACCCTGTCTTGGTCGTTTTCAGTTGTAAGTTTCTTGGCAAGGACAATGATATATGTTAAAAACAGAAAAAGATTCATAACTCCCCAATTTTTGAGCAATAGAAGTATTCCACTGCTAGGCTGAAAAAAACAAATTTTTGTGACAAATTTAAATGTCTGAAGAAAAATGGGATAATAATTTAATTCCTCTAATGAGTACTTTCAATTATGATGTGTACCCTTGCGTATCCGCCTTTCCAAAGAACTATAAAGTTTTTAAAAATCACTATTTTAAAAGCACTATTTTCATACTGTTAAAAATTTCAGTGTTGGAGTATTCTGCCCTGTATATTTATGGGGTGTATGAGTTGAAGGGATGATTATTAAATGTCGTAACAAACCTCTTATTGAAAAAAAGGCTAATGGAATTGTAGCATGGTACAAGTGCCTGAACCTGCTGCCTGTGGTATGCTGTGCGGGAGAATAAATGGCTTTCAGTCATGTAAACTAGTCACAGACACTCATATCCTTTGAACTCTAATAAGAAATGCACACTTACTTTAAATAGTAAGTGACTAAGCATATAAATGCCTTGATCAAGTCATCAGAAAAAAAAAAAAAAAGTAAAGGGGTTTTCTGTTTACGTTTTGTTATTTCTGTCTGAAATCTCTATTTTAGCCTCTGCGTCTTTCCTTTGTAATGTTCCCTGCTGAGAAGGACAGACTGGAAACGCAGTAGGGATCTTTGCCTTTTAAGCTACTCTTTGCTTTGCAGAGGGCTGCGTGCTGGAAGACCCGGTGTATTTGTCCAGTGTTTTGCTCAGTATGAGAGGAACATGACTATTTAAGAAAGGCAGGAAACTATTATGTGGTAATTTTAGCCACATTTCAATTGCAAGTACTAAAGAGCAGACAGAAGTTTAAATATATGTTTTAAGGTACACGCATACAAATCAGTTCAGCTTTTGTGCTCTTTGTCTTTCGTCAGGAAATTCTGAAACAATCTTGAATGAAGGTGTAAAAGGATAATTCTGAGTTAAATTTGCCACAACTATGAATTCACGGGTCATTTTTATCCAAAGTGTTTCTCCAAAATTTTTTCTGTCTTCTTTTCTAAATAGCATATATAACAGCTACTGTGGTGGAATCAAACTATAACCTGTTTTACAAGCAGGACTAGATTTTCTTCTCATGCAAACTTGTGCCCCTTTGTCAAAGTCAAAGGATACATGCTTTGCCTGCTAATTTTCTCTGCCAGGTAATTTAGCTTCCATCCACTGTTTGTTTCAGCATGACAAACTCTAAATGTTATGGCGATTTCTGTCCTTTAGGCATATTTTTCTTCAGAAAGTTAGCATATTGATAGGCAGTAACAGGGGGCCCGAATTTCCTATCCTTTATGCTGGTGTGATCCACTGTTGATTTACCTAATTCATCAACTTTAATCTACTATTATCTTAAGTATTACCACTGTTTTTTTCTCTCACTTGTATAAAATTCATCAGATTAATAAGAGCCATGTCGCTGTAGCTATGCTGGAGGTCCAGTCCAACAGCTATTAAAGTTGGATACTCTTCAGCGACTTCAGTGAAATTTGGATAAAGCTCATTGTTTTCATGCTCTTCCCCTCGCTGCCGTACCAGACAACTGAAATAACTGCTCCAAATATCAGTGTCTTTGGATACTTTGCATTTCTGTTCTGAGAAAATATCCAAGCAAATATGAATATAACCAAAGTAAATTCTCTCCCTCTGAATTCAGAATGACTATTTAACTAGCTTTAATATTTTGATACTCAATACTAAGTTTCAGCTGCTGTCCCTTTTTCTTTGCATACAGGTGATGCCTTAAGAAGGTTAGACTGTCTGTTAGGGTTGGAAAAAGAGAATAAAATAGTGTGGCTGAAAAAGCCTCTGCTTTACTAGAAAGTTCTGGAGGACTTTTGTGTTCTGTTTTTCATGTTGACAGTGTTTGTAAGTTTGCCCATAACCTCAGTGCTGAAATGGAGTCTTAATCTGTTTCCAGTTTTAGTGTTGTCTGATCCCCACTTCCCTCTTTCTCGTCCCTTATAGCTCTCATAGTTTATCCATTCTTAAGTTGAATGTCAAGGTTGCAGTTCTTTGCTTGTAAGAATCATTATAGGTGTGTTTTATGGGTGTTTCTGGTTTGGGAACTGTGGCAGTTGTGGTTTTTGCTTCCATGCTTTTCCTTCACAGCAGGCAAACCAAAGTATGAGGTGGTCTTATATGCATGCTTCCAACTGTCTACCTTTCAAATTTCCCTTCAAAGTTTTAGTAAATTCACTTCAGCCTAGTTCTCTCTCTCTGTGAAACTGAAAAAGCAATTGTGCATCTAATGCTGTCTGCCCTCCTCCTCTTTCTGCTTGTTCCTACCGGCGTCGGCTGTCCCAATAAGTGTTCACGCCTCATTCTTTCCTTGGGATCAGAGTTCGTTGGTGGGTAACAACTTCTGTGGGTTTCTCAGATCAGGGAAGAGTAACTTTTGCTCTATTAATTCCAAATCAGCTAGTTCAGATACCAGAAACACTTCAGTGGCCTTAGAGCAGAGCTTCTCCAGACTGGTTTTTCCCTTGTTTAGGCCTATTGCAGGCATCCAGCTGTTTCACACCATTATTGTACTCTTCTTTGGTGAAAAACAGATGCTTGTTTTATTTCTGTGGCACTCTGTGTTAAAATATTGTGCTGCCAACTGCTGAGGTATTTGTAGTTCATGCTTGAACTCATAAAAATGCCACAAAATCATTAACAGCATCAACTGAAGAAATTGTGAGCGTAGTATCTTGCGCCAGCATAACAGAATGGGTAGTTTAGATGTTTACAGGAATGTGTGCCTCATGTGACAGTGACAAAAAAGATCAGAATAGTAGTCAATGCAGATCTAAACTTTAATTTGTTTTATTCTGCCTTAGCTTGCAGCCGTGGGTTCTACAAATCCTCCTCACAAGATCTGCAGTGCTCCCGCTGCCCTACTCACAGCTTCTCTGACAAGGAAGGATCTTCAAGATGCGATTGTGAAGATAGCTATTATAGAGCACCTTCTGATCCACCATATGTCGCATGCACAAGTGAGTCGGTCGTGAATTTAATCGTAAAGGACGTTGCTTAACCAACCAGGTGCAGCCACTTGTAGCTAGTAGTTTCGGCTGGCTTTTCCTATATTTGAAAAGTACATTTACAACAGTAAATGAAATTGAAAGGCACAGGGGAAAAAAACGTTAACAGTGAATATAGAATCAGCATAAATATGATTTTCATATTTGCTTGATATAACATTGGAAAACATTGCATGTTGGGTAAGTGTGTAATTCATTGTAATAGATAGAATACAGGCATAGTCTTCCCATGGCTGTAAAATTGTTGTAAACAGTGTGCTTTATGAGATATAATACCAAAATGAGTAACATGAAAAATGAAAAGTAACCTGTGCAGATCTGAGCTTTGATTGAACTGTAATTGGATCTGGCTTAACCTTCTAACTGCAAATACAGTAGCCTACACAGGTTGGTGGTTCAAATAGTGGAAGTCTCCTAAATCCAAAGCAGCCCCAAAGGTCTCTAAATCATACTGGAGCCGATAACAAAGGACTAGATGCAGTTGCTGCTGTATGCTTAGAAGAGAGAAACAAATCCCATATTTGAGAAAACTATAAAAGACAACCTTTAAGGTACATTAACCAATCTTTTTAATTGCACAGAAGAGAAACAGCTAAAGTCAGTTGCAGTAAATATAGACAATTGTTATTCTGATGCCGTAATGGAAAATAAATAAAGCTCTTGCCAAGTGATTCAGGGAAGCTTTTATGCAGCTTGTAGTAAAAACAATGAAATGTTTATGTGAAGAAAAATGTTTTAACTACTTTCTGTCTCAGTAATTAAAATGCTAGCTACACGGCCCACCATGGTTCTGTGCAATTACCCTTGGACTTTTTTGTGTGTTACATAGGACCTCCATCTGCACCACAGAACCTCATTTTCAATATCAACCAGACTACCGTGAGTTTGGAGTGGAGTCCTCCTGCTGACAACGGGGGAAGAAATGATGTGACCTACCGCATTTTGTGCAAGAGGTGCAGCTGGGAGCAGGGCGAATGTGTTCCCTGTGGGAGCAACATTGGATATATGCCCCAGCAAACTGGATTAGTAGATAACTATGTCACTGTCATGGACCTGCTAGCTCATGCTAACTACACGTTTGAAGTTGAAGCTGTGAATGGGGTTTCTGACTTGAGTCGTTCCCAGAGGCTTTTTGCAGCTGTCAGTATCACCACCGGTCAAGCAGGTAAGTTTTCATCACTTATGAATCTCAACACTGTGAGACTGAGAGAAATTGGGAACATGCAAACTACAGATGCAGTAAATCAGGAGCATGTTTGGTGTGTTGTGGCTCATTAATCTTTTCGCCTTGCCAACTAGTTAATTTGAGTTTATACTATTTCATGATAAGCTGCCCTGTTTCTTGGCATCAGGACTGCTTTCAGAAAGCAGTGGTGAAAGACTTAAAGAAGACATAGAGCTTTATTATTAAATAGATTTTCTTGACTCTGCAACTTCTTTTTTTTTTTTTTTTCTTACGTGATTGTTGGTCATTCCCTACTATTTGAAGAAAAACAAAAAGATGTGACAGTCCTGTGAAGGCTTCCTTTCTGAATTTTTTAAGCCTGTATGGGAGTCCTAGGTCACTGGAAGATGATTTGGATAACTGATGTGTTTTCAGTGTTAATGTTTTCCCTCAGGATAATGTTTCTAATTTATCTTGTATTTCCAGATATTTGATTATGAGATTCAGTGAGAATGTGATGATTATTCTTTGTTTCTTCTACTTATCATAATCTGACAGGTGAAATGTCAGGGAAAATAAAATCAAACTAGCATACCACCCCAGGGGAAAAAAGGGCGTTAGATGTCTGCATGCTGAATAAAAAAAAAGAATTTTCTGATTTAGGTTTCTGAAATGATGAGTCGCTTGCTGATAAAAATTATAGGTTTCTGAATCTACAATATTTCATTGTGGGCTTTACGAAAGGATAGTAAAACTAACCTTTTATACATTGAACAAAAGATCATAAACTGAACATTAATTGCAAGATTTGGCTTCTGAAGAAATACCTTAAAAGAAAATATGTGAATAACTGATGCTTGCTGTAAGAACAGCTAGCCAATGTTTTAAAGTATACTTCATACTTACATTTTGAAGCAAATTTTAATTACTGTGATCAAGCTATTCTTTTTTAGTGCAGTAGAAATGAACTCCTATAGTAATGCTTTGAACTGAGGATAAACTCACCATACAGGGGCAATGAATTTATAGGAAAAACTGTAGTTATTTTGCACTTTATTTGAGATGATATTCTCAAAAAAAAAAAAAAAAAAAAAAGAAAAATAGAACAAGAAATTTTCTTCAAAACCTTCCCTCCCCCCCCAAACCTAGGACAGTTTATATAGTTGTTAAAATTACGCTGGAATATTTATGGGATATTTATTTTTCCTCATTGTGCTTTCCTGGATACTAAATGCACATTTTATATTATTTTGGAACCATCCCTCTGACTGAAAGGATTCATCTCTGTGCTCGTTCAGTTCTTGGAGTTTACGATGAGATTTTGAGCAAAGAGAACTTACCCTGAAACTATTTTTGCATCACAGATTGTATTATTTTGGCACCTTGATTTTTCACCTCTAAAATAATTCTCTATAATTCTTCAGATGTGTACAGGTGGACAGTGTTCTGCTCTCTGTAGATGTCTGCACAGAACTACCACATGAAGAAGAGCATTTGCACTTTTTCCTATTTAGCTAAATCAAATTTGCTTTACTTTATGTGCTTTGATGGTTCAATGGCACACAGGGTAAAGAAAGAGACAGTGTGATGTGGTGGCTAGTATCACATCTCAGGAAGACGGAAAAGCCTTAATCAGAAATTTGTTGCGTTACCCCCAAGACAATTCATTATAGCTAATTCTCTTGTGTTCTCATAGTCATGGATTTATACATTTTTTCAGGCCAGAAGATATAATATGGTTATCCTGTGTTATCTTATAAGCAATACAAGCTATATGACTTTATGAAATGATCCTCCCGTCAAACCCAGAGATGTTAGTGAAACTATAGTTTGCATATGTATTAGAGACAACATCTAGACTTTACCTAGTGATTTCAAGTAATGGAAAAACCTTCACCCCCCTAGATAAATGTTGTAAGAG